ACGACAATTGGGGGCTTCACGAATGACATGTGGCGAGTTGACATTTGGCCAGTTGTGGCAATGGGGATCGTCGCAGGAGAACTGTTGGTCTGCTCGTCTGTCCAGGGGTTGGGTTCCCACTGTGGTGCTAGCTTGTTGTGCACCTGCTTGTTGTGTCGTAGATTGTGCTGACCAGGGGTAATGCTGGGGGCGTTTGACCGATGGCAGCGTCACACTGTGATTGGCAGAATTGCTGGACAGGACATGCAGCTAGTCATCGGCGGATAATGCCGGCATAATTTTGAGCATAATCACGGCTTTCTGAAAAATAGCATTGCCAAGCATAATTTAGTTGATCCTTCAGCATAAGTGCTGCATAAAACCGCTAGGGCCTCAAAGGTCAAAAGTTCACCGTCCAGAGTCCGTTGTTTGTTACAAGGGCAAGGGAATCCTCCTATAAATAGATCTACACCCGGGACTCGGCAGGGAGTCGTACCATACCACGGTATATCTGGCACGGCTCCGTGAAAGGGCCTGATCTACACTGTAAATGTAACAGATGTCTAATGTTTAGGGCGTCAAAGGTCAAAAGTTCACCTTCCAGAGTTCTATTATTTCTATACATAATTATGCTTGTATTGATGTTGCAGTGCCTACATGTATTTGTATTTTTCTATATTTAACTTTAAGGATTTCCCAAAGCCTTTGAGCCTGTCGAGGGGATCTCCTGCAAGAAGAATGAAATGACAACTTTATGTAGAGGGAGCAGGTAATCGAGGATAGGCTAAGGAAATAGATCGAAGCATACAAAATCTGGTGATTAAGGAGTTGGGATACCGTCAGTGTAATGAATATATCGACGAAAATGCTGATAGAGAGAATGCTTGAATCCCGGGAGGCTGGTTATAGAGGTAAGAGAAGGCGGTAGGCAATTCCATAGCATTGCAGCTTTGTTGGAAAAGAGGGAAGAAAAACGCCTACCGTGATAATTGATGTGAAGTTTGTTTGGTCTTCTTGGACTTGAAGACAATGAAAGGTGAAAATGTCGGATGTGTTCTGGAGATATATGTATAAATTTAAATAGAGTAACAAGAGCTGATCTTGTCTGTGAAAGTGCAAGGACTCTAAGTCACAAAGTGCGTTTAACTGGGATTTCGTTTCGCATCTATCTACATTGACCTTTTTACGTAGCAAATACTTCCTAGCTACTCTGGCTTGTAAAATATTTAAACGCGCCAGCTCAGCTTTGGTGATGGCATAGGACCAGGCCGAGGTGGCATGTTCCAGGGCGTGTCGGACAAAACTTTATATAGAAGTAG